AAGGTTTTATATTGATGCTTTCACTTCATTACCATATGGGCACTATAGGATAAAATAACCCTGACATATATTTAAACATAAAACACCATAAAACAACATATAACACGATGGAAACCAGCATCAAAGACAGAAGAAACCATAAGGACTACTCAAAAGGGAAAATTTACATAGTTAGAAATTCAAAAAATAACAGTATCTACATTGGAAGCACAACACAGAAACTAAGCGAAAGAATGGCACAACATAGAAAGGCAACAAGAAACCCGAGAGCAAATTCATATAAGGTGTATCGCTCCATGAACGAGTTAGGTGTAGATAATTATTATATAGAACTTATTGAAAACTGTAGTTGTAATAATCGGGAAGAACTATCTAAAAGAGAAGGTGAAATTATACGGGAATACAAACCTGACTTGAACAAACACATTGCAGGTAGAACGCTTAGTGAATATAAAGAAGACAACAGAGAAAAAATCCTTGAATATGACAGAAAGCGACACACTTTAAACAGAGATGCTAGACTACAACAACGAAAGCAAAGATATACTTGTTGTTGTGGGTCAATCATCAGAAGAGATGGTAAGGCAGAGCATGAAAGAACAATAAAACATATTGAATTTTACAGCAATAATTTTTAATCTAAATATCTCTAATAAGAATGAAATTATTAGAGATGTTTAGCGGGACAGGCTCGGTTGGTGGGGTTGCTCGGGATTTGGGTTTTAGTGTCATTTCCCTTGATTTGAAAAATGCAAATATCAATACTGATATTTTGAGTTGGGATTATAAAGAGTTTGATGTGAGTGAGTTTGATGTGATTTGGGCATCTCCTCCATGCACTGAATACAGTCGTGCTAAAACCGTTGGTGTCCGTAAGATTGATTATGCTAATAGTATCGTTTTAAAAACTCTTGAGATAATAGAATATTTCAAGCCTGTTTGGTGGGTTGTGGAAAATCCTCAAACAGGTTTATTGAAGGAACAACCCTTCATGAGTGGTCTTGGGTTTGTTGATGTGGATTACTGCAAATATGGGTTTAATTATCGTAAGAGAACACGGTTATGGACTAACATAACAACATGGAAACCTAAGCCTTTGTGTTGTGGGGATTGTGGGAAGGTAAGGAATGGGAAACATCTTGAAACTGCCCAACGACTACCAAGTGGCAAAAAATCGGATTGGGGTGAAGGATACATTAAACATAAACAGGATGAACTGTATAAGATACCTACTAATTTGATTAGTGATATTTTTGTGTGTTTGTTTTAGGACTCTCAGGTTTGGGCTCAAACGTTGAAATTTCAAGGATTTCTCAACTCCGTTTCGGTGTTTTTGTGCTTCGTGAAATTTTGGTTTTGATGGATTTTAAGGGAAAATCAATGGTTCTGAAAAACGAGGGAACCCCAAACATGACCGAACATTTACATAAATTGTGGGTTTGGGGTAAGCCCTCAAAAGGGGGACACAGACCGAAAGCCAGGCATCCCTGAACCTAGTCGGTGGCAGTCATGTAGAGCTCAACAGGTGGAGCAGATGCGGGACGATTACAATAAAGGGGGTTTGGTGGTTAAGGGGGGCGTCTCCCCTCCCTTGGGGAAATATCTCCCCTCATTTGGGGAAATGTTGGTCTATCTCCCCAAATTAGGGGAAAAGGTCCCCTATCTCCCCGACTTTGGGGAAATGTCTCCCCGACCTTGGGGAAATGTCTCCCCGACCTTGGGGAGATGTCTCCCTTACATTGGGGAGGGGAGCGATTTAATTGAGATTTACAAAGACCAATTAATAAAAGGATATGAACATTATTGTTGTAGAAAAGGGTTGATAAGTTATTCTAATCATATTGTTGTTGAAATTAAATTTGGATAGAAACAATTCTGTTTATTCATATTATTTAGTTATAATATGAATAAACATTGTTTTATAATCTAACAAGAAGGTTAAGACATTTAAATTAAACCTGAAACCCAGACCAGCCGACCAGCAACCCCCTAGCCAAAACTACTTAAAGAAATATTACCTTATATATTAAGAGAAAAATGAACGGTGATGGAATCAATAATTATATCGATAAAAAATGCTATGATTGTTGCCACTTCAAAAAAGAAAATATGGAATTGTATAAATTGAGTTTACCTAATGAAATTGTGAATAATATTATTAATTATTCAATGGATGGTGAAGAAGACATATGTAAAAATTGTAAAACTTGGAGAGATAATCAATTTTTAATCAAATGTCTGTTGGAAATAAAAAGAATAAATAATAGAAATGTAGAAGATGAGATTTTAATATTTCTAACTGTAAATAAAATACCACCTTACGATTATATTAAACAGTTTCTTAAAATCAGCAAGAAAAAATATGACATGATTTATGATATATTATGGATGTTGGGTTATAGTCAAGAGAAAGGAGAAGATGTTAAACAAAATATCAAATTATTTATTGAAAGTAAAAAGTTTAATGTTCAAAATACATTGAGAGATATTAATATTATTTTTAAAATGATGTATGAAAGAAGTAAGACAAATCAATTAAATTATTATCCTGAACTGAAATTATAATCATAGTATAATAATAACATGTAAAATCTTATATGTTATAATTATACTGAACTTTTAACCTATAAAACATAGCTAGACAATCACATAAAAATCACATAAAAAGAAGTTGTTAAGATATATTAAGAATGGTTGTGAAGCAAACTATAATGAATAATTATGGAATGACAGAAGAAAAAGCAAAAGAAGACTTTGGTGAATTCTTCAAATGTAACAGATGCCTTTATGATAAAACAATTGATGAATTTGGAAATGTAAAAAGTGGAAGAAGATATAAATATTGTCAAGAGTGTAGAACAAAAATAAATAATTGTAGAGATAAACGTCAAAGAAACAAACGACCCACCAACACCCCAGAACTTGATAACTACTAAAAGGGCCAACTCTTGCAAATGAAAAAAATGTCGGCCCCCAGCCCAACAATGAACAAGGGGGGCAATTACCCAAATGATTACCTTAACGAAAACGATAAATAAGCTCCCTAAAAACCCTCTTTTAAAAACGGATAAGGTGGTTAATAGGTTTGAGATGAATATAAAAACCATAACAGGCAACCATCAACAGACCACCCCCCAGGCCCCCTACTTTCTCCATTTTTTCCCCCCCCCCTCCCCCCCCGTAAAGAGTTCTGACCCCCCCCCTGCCCTTGTTGCAGGGAAACCGTCAAACCCTTGACATGGTTTATAAACTGTCTTGTAAGTTTATAAACTCTTTGCTGTTGTTACTCAACATGACTTGTCACCCACAAAAAATATGCAGCAACAGCACACTTCTTGCGTATATATGCTCACACCCCCTGTCTTTAAAAATAAGAGGGGTTTGTACATTTTGAAGTGGAAAGGTAGGCCCCGGGGGGGGGGGTGAGCATATATATATATATATACATATGTATATATAATATATATCTATATACCAAAAAACATGAAATGTAAATCACTGCGGGCGTTTGCCAAAAGGGGGGCCCGAAGAATTGTTGAAATGGTTGGCGATATTTGTTTAAATTTTGCCCTCAAAAGCACCATCCAAAGAAGGGCCAAGCCCTTTCGGGAAACACCTCCAGTTTTCTGGTTAGATCAAGTTTGGCGAGGCTCTTCGGGAGGACTTACGCCTGGGCGAGCTTTTTGCATGGGCCAGACAAGCCAAGGGCTGCAGATATCTGATGAGATCAGCGATTCAAACTCAGGGCATGAACGCAAACCAACGCTCAAAGTCTCAGTCAATGACCATAGTCTGCTTGGAGTACTTAACTTTGCAAAAGTGGCTGCAACTCAGCAATCGTGGGACCGCTTTGCCGCAAGCAGCCGAAGCAGCATTGATGCTTTCAGATAGCACGGAAGAGGGATGAACCTCAGCCTGCATTGCATGTCAGGTAGTGAGCTGTTCGCAGGAAGGCCTGATTCGTCCAAGCCTCAGCACCGGCAATGCATTCACCACGAGGAGTTTCATCCAACTTAACCTGTGCGTCTTGCAAATTCACTGCCTTCACGGTTGCCTCGCTCGTACTCGCTTCAGCTGTTGGTTGCCCTCCCTTGCACCACCAAATGAATACGTGACCAGACATACAGGGTTTGCCACCGGGGATTCATTGAACCGCTTGCTCAGGCTTCGGGAAGGATAAGGGTTTGCCGCCCACAGTGCGACCCGCTGACAAAGTGGCCAAGCTTTAAAGGGATTGGCTCACTGGAGCGTTAGCTCACGCATCGGTTCCCGGGGATGCGTGGCAGCAGTTGAACGTGGAAAAGGAAGAGATTTCAATTGTCTTGGGCTCAGACAATTGCGAGCCTCCAACTAGTTTGCTGCGCAGCCCCACTTTTAGCCTCTCTGTGCGCAAGTTGTAGATCTCCCGCTTATCCATGCTGACAAGATTCCAGAGGTTTGTCTTGCGGGTTATGCATCCTGCGCCGCCAGTCTCTAGCTTCGGAGAGTTCAGCTGGGGCTTGGGCCCTGCGGTCGAGCTATTTCGAAGTTAGCCTGAAGGGCGCAAGGAGACAGGCCGCGACCCGCGCCACATGCGGGAAAACAGGTAGTGCATGCGGGTTTTCAGTTCTATAACCCGTTCTAAGGTTGGTTTACAGCGAGCAAGAGGACAAACCACCATTTTGGGGGTCCCCGCCATGTTGATTTTGACCCATACCAGCTCAAACTGACACTTGCTGACTCAAGTGACTATTTGCTGGCAGATGTTGTCTCTTCAGGGAGCTGCTGACCAGACAGCGGAAGATAGGGGTAAGGGTTGTCGTCGGTGCTGGTTCCATACACGGGGAGTGACAGGGAGGCATGAACGTTGTCTCCTGCATTCATTCATTCCTTGAGCCAAGGTGCCAAAGCAAGGGAGGGGGGGGGGCCACCCTTCATAAAGGGGCCCTTTCCACGCATGTTTTATTATGGGTGCAAAATATACTCATACGAACAAGAATAGCAAACTTGTAATGCATGAGGAAAACCCCGGGTTTCGCAACCAGTCAGGAGTGGGGATATGTTTGATGTAGCCATTTTGGTCAAAGCTCAGCTAGCTGGATTGACAACTGTCCACGCCATGATGCAGCCCATGGAGTTTCCGTCGACGCGCCCCAGCCTGTGCCTCCGCGCCGCGTCCGTCGCGCCGAGCGCGTCCGTCGCGCCGGCCGGAGCTCGTGGGATTGGAGTGGATGGGCTCCTCAAGGCACGGGGCGCACAGACTAGGATCTGGTAGCCTTGGGGAGGGTGGGTGGGCTGGTTCCCAAGGCAAAAGGGAAGATAGATCCTCCAGCCAGCTGATGAATGCTTCTTCAGAGGCTCCTTTCGGCGTTTTTTCCTTCACTTTGCCTGTCCTTCACTTGGGTTTTTGCTTGTGCCTTCGTTTGGCAAACACAGGTCGCTCCGGCGGCAGCTGCAATGGCCCTGGCTGCCAGGGCGAAGCGGGTGAAAGTGAAGATGCAGAAGGGCAAATCAGGCTCAGAACCGCGCAAGATGGCCGCTTGGGAAGCTTGGCCGTGACCTCACCAAAAAAGAAAGCGGGCTGAACAGATCAACACCTCGGCCTCAAAGTGTGCTCCGTTTCATTTCAGTCATCACTTTTAGACCCCCCGAACAGGGTTCTCACCAAAACCGAGAGCCATGTCCAAAGCGAGTCGACCTCTTGTCGTCTTCCAAACCATTCAGTCATGTTTTGGACTGGGAGTTGGATCATCACATTTGTTTACCAGACGCCAATATAATATGAGGTTGTTTTTTTGTCCTATTGAATCACCCGCAGCTCATAATTACACCGAACAGCTTCAGCGCCAGACCCAATTTCTAGATGGCGTTCTGCCCAGAAGGCACACTCCCCGACAAATCCGCATGGACCTGAAAAGCCTGAGTTTGCAGGGTTGGTATGATGTGACAGGACCTGCCTGGATGGCTTTTGGCATTTCAAGGCACCCTTGGCTGTCCAATACCCCGCAGCCGGCCTTTTAGACAATAACCTTCCGAAACGCGACTTTGGCTGCACATGCTCCGGAGTCCTAGGAGAAGGACTTTCGCAAGAAGTTCGGCGATGAGTCCATTGTGGACTTGAAGAAGGCCAAAATGGAGGCAGGCTTCCCCACAATCGGGCGCCTGGGTGTTTGTTGAAAATGCACTAACCATGCACGCATTGCGTCCTGCAATCAAACCGGGGTTGTTGATTTTCATTTTTCCCTCTGCAAGAAACCCACCCGAGAAAACCCCAACTTTCCAGGTGCCCACCTTTTCCACTGGTGCCCTCACGCTGGACATGGCTCTCGGCGGCGGACTCCCATATGGTCGAATGGTGGAAGTCTACGGGCCCGAGCAGAGCGGCAAAACCACCCTGGCCACCACCTGTTGCATCTCCGCGCAGCAGACCGGGCGCAGGAAGAAGTGCGCCTACATCGACGTGGAGCAGGCCTTTGACCTGAACTATGCCAAAGCCATGGGCTTGAACATCGACGAAGACGTCTTTGTAGCCTGTCAATAATTACCCAGCATTTGTTTTGCCGATTCGCTCATGTTCCAGCTGAGATGTGGGGGTTGTAACGCATTTCCTTGGTTTTAGCCAGAAGTTCAAGAGAGGTGTTTTGCTCGCCGACCTCAGCGGAGAAAGCTTTGGAAATGGCCATCGATCTCACCAAGTCAAATAATTTTGATCTGGTCGTCATCGACAGTGCTGCCGCCCTGTGCCCAGATGAGGAAGATCAGAAAGATATGGCGGATCACTCCATGGCCCTTCGGGCTAGGCTGCTGAGCAAGTTCTGTCGCAAGGTGACGGGACCCGCCGCGGATAGCGGGACCACGATCTTTATCATCAACCAGCGGCTCGGCAGATTCGAGACGCAGCTTTCTCCCATCCCGTTGGCATGTGCGTGTGTTTGTTTGTGTGCGCGCTTGTTTGTGTGAGCGAGAGAGAGAGAGGGTTTGGTATGTTATGGCGTTTCCGCGGTACGTGTGTGTTAGGTCAGCGTCTCTGCGTCCCTGGTTCTTTTGTCTCTGAAACTCATGGCTGGCCGGCCAAGAAGAAATGGTTCCAATTCTTCTTTTCACCATTTGGGTCACTCTTTCCGGGTGAGGATGCGTGCCAACATCGGTGGCTATGGCCTCGCAGAAGACACAGTGGGGGGCAAGGCCATCAAGTACCATGCCTCGGTGCGCATGGAGACTCAGACGACCTGGCAGCTCTTTTCTCCCCTGCAGGTCAGTTCTCTTGTGGCTTCCCATGAAGCACCGCCGAAAGTCTAAAGAGGTTAGATGCAACTGTGGATTTAAGTGGGGGGTTTGGTGCTTGCTGGCTCAGAAGGCAGCCGGTGGGGTGGGGTGGGGGGGGGCAAACAAATCCGGCTTCTGTGTCCAAGGAAGTGCGTTCGCCGAAGTCCGGGATGATTGGCACCGCGGAGCAACCCACAGGCATCCGCTGCAGGGCCACTTGGCCAGGCTGCGGGACCATTTGGGAGGTACCAGGGTGGTTATTGTTTTTGGTCTACCTTGAAAAGATGTGTGTTGTTGGGGTGTCCTGAACAGGGAGACTGCGAAAGGGAGCGGCGAAGCGAGGCAACCAAAAGATACGGCAAGCCGGAACCCGTAGACATGCGTGCCTAGTCCCTCAGAGCCAATGGCCCTTGCCGCAATGCAACCAAGGGCTCGCTGCCCGTCCCAGTGAACGGCATCAAACACACGCTTTGTGTTGGACTATTGAAGCTCCAGGTTGCAAGGCTTGGGTTTTCTTTTTCTTGGCAGTCATCATTTGTTCGAGATGTTCATGGCTTGCCTTTTGCTTTTTGCCTTGCCCCTTGCTACCTGATCCCGCGGAAAGGCTCTTGTGCATGGCAAAGGCATGCCAAAAAGGAGGAATCGCTGCTTCGCAGCCTGGGATTTGTCTTCGTTTGTATCTTCAAGTTGTGTTTCTGCGTCTTTGCACTTTTGGAAGCCTCACTTGGCAGCTTCGAAGCGTTTCAAGTTGCGCACGGACCAAAGCGGAGTATTACGTTGCGGCTGATTGGGAGGATTCCCTTGTTTGGCCACAGGTTTGGCCAAACATGGTAAACCAAGAAGTGAATAGATGCTGTGTTTAGTCTTGGGGTGTTTGTTCGGTTGGCTTAGCTTGTGGCGAGCTAGGTGAAGATTGTCAAGAACAAGCTGGCAGCACCACATCGTGTGGCTGAGCCACTGGACTTCAACATGACTTGTTTCGCCCTTGTGTTCTCCGAACCTCAATGACCACACCCACATGTTTTTTATGCCCACAAGTTTGATGAAGTGCGTCAAACCTGGGGCCATATACTCAGACCAGATGGTTGGTTCCTTTAAATATTCTTGATTATTCTTGCTTTTGCCAACCCGGAAAGGATCGGACACATCCACGTGACCCACCAGAAATATAATCTCAACTTAAACAACGAGGAGATCTTGATTTTGAGGATGTTGTGATATTTGAACAGGCAGGGTTGTTTGCATTTCCCTGGAACTGTTTTTTTAAGTGTTAACCATCCTTTTGCATCCGCCGGGTTAGGACCACTTTAGGGATCCCGCATTTCGAAGATGGTTAAGCAACATCAGTTTGCGGGCATCTTTGAGTAGGTGCACGGTTGTCAAAAAGGTAAATCCACCCCCTCCTTGTTTGCCCTGGCCAAAGCTCCGCGGCAACAGGGGAAGGGATTGAAGGAAGTGGGGAGTGGTTTGGTATCTTCGGTTCTCTTCGCGGGCCAGCGGCGGGTGGGGAGGGAGTGGTTCGAATCTTGGGTTTTCTGGAGGTACTTCCCTTCCCGGCCAGGGGGTCGAGGGAAGGAGTGGGGAGTGACGAGGTACGACATCATCTTCGGCAAGGGCATCTCCTGGGAGAGTTGTCTCCTGGAGGCGGGCATCGAGAAGAACCTGGTGGAGAAGAAAGGGGCCTGGCGCGGGGCCTCGGCTTTCGGCCTCGGCTTCTGAAAACGAGTGAGGGGTTTCGTCGGGTTCGGAGAAGCGAAAGGGGTAGTGGCATCCTCGAGTTTTGAGGTCGAAATGGTGGTTTAAAGGAAATCACACCCAAACGAAGTTTCGAGAACCCCATAGAAAAGTTTGAGGAACTCAGCATCAGACCCTGATTGGAAAGGGGTGATCCCATTGTGAATTACAGTGCCGCAGTATGCCTGGTGTAGGCTTTGGGTCGGATCTGTGACACCTTCAGTTATGTGCGGAGGAGATGCTTGGCCCCAGTCAAGGCCTTGTCCCGCGCAGCAGTCTTCCTTGGGTAAGAGGGGATTGGCTTGCTGTTGAGTTTCCTGGCGAGAGAAGTGATTCGCAGGAATTGATCGATCGATCGATCAGCAGGGACATTGGACTCGCATTGACCGTCCTCAGAACCAATGCCATAAGAGCGCCCCGGGCAGAAGCTTTCAAGGGACTCTCTCAGCAAGTGGAACCTTTGTGTTTTGCTCAGTGAGCAGCTGATACCTCCCCTATCTCTTTGAACATCTCCCGAGATTTCAGACATTCACTATTCACAAAGCTTGGGACTGCCAAAACGAATAATCAGGTTGCAGAATCGAGTGGCAAGTTATTCTCCCATGAAAGATAGTTGTTGTGCGCAGGCCGTCTTTGGGCGCGAAAGGACATGTAGTCGCTTCTCAAAAAACATATGGTCGGTGAATAGGAGCATGATTGCAACATCAAGATTCCCATGCCTGGGGGGAACAATCCATGATTCGAACAGCTTGACCCTTGTCGGAGTGAGTTGTTTTGTTTACCTGGCCCTGGTGTTCCGAATGAAACTCGGGTTGTGGATCCTTGCAGAGGTTCCGCGCTAAAGATGGCCAACCAAGACTGACCCAGCGTGTTTGGATAAGGTGGATGCAGTAAAAATTGCAAGTGAACCAACCGCATCCAACCACAAGATCCTAGTTAACGGTAGCTTTCAGGGCTAGGCCCATCCACCGGCAATGCTTTGGGATCCGTTTGATGATCTTGCATGGCCCTTCCCGGGTTACACACGTCCCCATTTGGACAACGGAGCATGCAAGGATTCCTAACATGAGTAACTCACCAAAGGCAGCAAAATCAATCAGACATTTGGCCGATTGCGGGATAGAGAGTGTTGCTGAGGTTGCAGTACGGCGAGCACAAGGTGCAAGGCAAGGAGAAGATGGTGAAGTACCTGGAGGAGGATCCGGAGGAGCCTTTTATGCACACATTTCACCCATGCAGACGAAAATGGATCCCGAACAAACATACTATTCCTTTAGGCTTTGGGGGCCTTGTTGATTTGCTGGGACTCATGAATTTAGTGTGCCTTCCCAAACAACCATCCTGAACGTCCCATTCCAAAAGTTGAACTCTTAGAGCACCCTGGGGGTGGGGGGGGGGTGAGGGGGGTCAGTTGGAAGTTGAAGGTGGTCCAGTGCTGCTTGTCTGATTGGACCAGCTGGACATGAGCTCTCGAGATTGCAAGCTCTTCAATTAAAACACACGTCTCAAAGACAAGCCGTGAAACGCTTTACCACAAGCATTCAGCTCAACCCCGGACGCATTCAGCTCAACCCAAGCACAAGGCTACAATGACTACAACTCCTTGGCAAATTCCCAGTCGGCTGGCGAAAGGCCCTTGAGGCACCCCAATGTGTAAGGAAGCTCCTGTAGCTTTGAATATCTTTGATCTGCAGAGGCACACCCCTTTTTACAGCGAGCAAGTGCATCCGGACTTGGCTTTGACACGAGTCGAACTGAGTTCTGAGTAGCCTAAACTTGCAACATATCCCAGAAGGGCATGCATGGAGGTGATTCTAGGGGGATGGTTATTTGTTGGATTTATTTCCGCGCCAGTATTTGACAATCGGATCATAACGCACACACTTCTTCTTTCAGTGTCATGAGCTTGCCACGCTGACAGACGTACTGCGAGGCAAGCTCTCTGCCGCATATCCAATCAAACTAGGTTGGAACGGCCTTCTTAGGAGAGGCCCGGAGGGCAATTAATCGTGGTCAACGCCATGTCCAGGAGTCCGTTCCGATAGTTATCCGTAGGCCACAGGTCGACATCTGAGTTTGTAAGATTATATATATATATATATATTTGTTTCTTCCCTTGCGGCGATATACTAGTTGGCGTGGAATACATTCAATCATGCAACAAAACCACAGCAGACAGATTTTTCCCAGTAGGGACGGGCGGGGTTAGCTCCAAAGGCCCCCTTCCCCGACGGGGATTCTCCGGACGCTGGCCAGGCGAGCAAGAAGTTGGAGGCCGAAATCCGCGCCGGCAAAGAAGTGCCTGAGGCAGCCAGACTCGGGGGCTATAACGAGCTCACCATAAAGGTTCAACTACAAACCACTTCGGAAACCACGCGTCAGGTGGCCGAGGAGGAGCTCGAGCTTGTGACACCGGAGCTGGCGGTGTGACCGTTGAACCCGGAGCTGAACCAGCGGCAAGGTGTGCCAACTGTGATTCTTTGATTTTGCCCTCGACTCAAATGATGGTAGTAAATATTTCAATTGAGGGTTGAACTATGACCAAGACCTTCTGATCCCGAATGCTTTGAGGTCTTCGAAGTTGCCCAACCCTTTTTAAGAATTCTGGGGTCTGTTTCGTGTTTTCACTTTGATACCGCAGGATGTTTGGTTGAACTTGTGCAGGGATGGGGGGATTTAGCACAAGCGAACGATCATCGCTCATGCTAAAACTTAACAGCTCTGTCATGATAGGGCTGTGGTTGTCGGTTGTGTTTAGACACATGCTCGTGGATATGTGTCAGCATGTTGTTTACGAAAGCTTATACACCAGATGACTCCATCCAAACTGCTGATTTAGCAACGGCCTTCTTGATGTGGCGCTCCCTCGGTTGCTGTGTGGGGTCACAAAGCCGCCTGTTTGAGCAACAAGGAATTTGTGGAGCTTTGCTTTCCCCATTCTTTCCACGCCTACTTCTTTGCAGAGGATGCCCAAGGCCCAAAGTGTGAGTTACCGTGCCTTGCGCCAAGAGGGAGGGCCACTCCTTTCAAGCCAATGCGTGCATGACCTGCTCAACAATTCATACTAGTTCCGCGGGCCCTGCGTTCTGCGGGGACGTTGCAGCAATTAAGTCGACCATGCCAGGCGTCAGGCGTGACACAAAAAGAGATTGAACAATCGGCCCTTGCGGCGCCGGATGCAGAATTTGGCCCCAAGGACGCAGTTGAGTTCTTGGCCAACCAGTCGGAACCAGAGGATTCCCCAAGGGTGCGTGACATGGATAAAGGAATTCTTGGGCGCACTTTGAAAGCAAGAGCAATTGATCCTGCGCAATGACTTGCTCAGACATGCAGCGGCGTCCTTATCCACGGGTTTTTTGTTGGCCACCGGAGGTGTGTGCATCTCAGCCGGTTGTTTTGGCCAGTGGGGAGGAGTTGAAGCAAGGGTCACCTAGGCAAGCAATTTCGCCAGATTCTTTGGAATGATGAGTTTATTGTTGCTTTCTTCGCGCAGATGTGCGTTCTCTCTTGCTTTGCAAAAGCTCCTTTGCTCACTGACTGTTGGCCACCTGTACTGCACCCTGCCATTCCATGACTCTCAAGTGCATTCACCAAGAAGAAAGCAGTATGCACTTGTTCATCCACTTGGTTGTTTTAACAGGGGCCTCGCACGCCTGTATCGTTTGTTTGCCGCCTGTGTTACCAGGAGCTTTTGCAAGGAGTCGAAAGCTGATTGCATCCGGTTACTGCATGGAGCCCTGATATGAACCTGTTGAATGGATTGATCGATCACCAAATCGTAGATTGTTGCTCAAATGTTGGACATCAGCCACTGTTGGGCACCACATGGCCATGGGTTCCTGTATGGACATATACATTCGGCCGTTGGAACAGATCCGCCATTGTGTAAACCCCCGTCTTCTTCAAAATGAATCCTTAGTCCCGGTTTCCAAAAAGTTTGATTTCGTCCTGGCAACGAGATAGCCATATTTCCTCAGGCTGGGTATGGCTAACATCGGACACGCCAAACTCAGGTGAATGATGCCCCTCGCCGTGGCGGGCCCAGCTGGCCAAGAGAATTCGGCCGCAGGTTCTCGTCTCAGTTGCCGCCCACCAACTACCTCTGTTGATGGTTGCGTCTGGCCTGTTTTCACCTTTGTGAGTTGATGTCGGTAGTGCCACCCCTGCTGTGGTTTCTTGTTAGCTGCCTTTCTTTTATCAAGAGTGTGTCAGCAAAGGGCACCAAGTAATCATTTGGGCAATTCACAATTTGTACAAGCAAGTGTTGACTGATTAGGTGCCTTCTTTTGTTAGATCCTCAAAAACCAGCCCCTTGAGCCGTCGTTGGCACGTCCGCCCGAGGTGAGTCTGACCCGCGGACCTTGCACCAGGTCGTGGCGGAGATGTGCACCAAGGATCCAACCCTTTGGATGTGGCTGGAACACATCAGGCTAACAAGCCTTAGGGAGGAACAATATTTTGGTTGAACGAAGCAAGTTGTTCGTGGGACTAGGCCTGGAAGGGGCGTTTAGCAGGCGCCAGAATGAAGTCAACACCAACCCCAGACCAGCCGTTTAAATCCCCCCCAAGCCTTGAACCAGCCCGAAGGTATCACATAGTTCATCTTAAGCCCACTCTCACCAACCCCCCATGCCCACCCCAAACAAATCAAGCCAAACCAACCCTTTATATAGAGCTAGATAAAGCCAACCTCAAAGCACCATTTCACCAAGCCTAGCCCGAAGCAAATGCTCAACAAACCCTGAATGTACACGGAGCCCATCCGACCGAACCCGCACCCTAAACCCATGAACTTGTCCACAAACCCGCAATCCTACACTATCCCAGACCCACATCCAACGCCAACCCGACTTCAGATCAATCATGCATTGGGCCAAGCACAAGCCTAAACGCACCTAAACCATCCTGACTCCACGCTTGAACCGCTTTGAGCAAACTGCAAACCGATTTGTGCTGGCCCTAAATCGACCCTAAACTCAAGGTGAACCTCACAAAGATCAATCATGAATTGACCCAGACCAAGACTCTACCCCACCTAATTTCAAACCAATTGTGGACCCACCCTACCCTGAGCCAACCCTCATCCAAGCTCAAATCAATCCTACCAACCCCAACTCACCCTGAGCAAACCTCAAACCAACACCGAACCAGCACTCCTGCCCAAAACAGTGATGTTTGGAGTTTGGAGTGACAGTTTGAATGTTCCGTACCGCAAGCTGTTTTGTTCACAATCTCACATGTGTTGGATCTTTCCAATGAGTTTGGTGTCTATCATCGTTTCAGTTTTTTGGGCAAAGCAGTCAAGGAGTTGCGCGGCCCCCAGGTCCGAATCCCCCCCCCTCTTGGGCCGACTGGGCCGATGGGTCGGAGATCCAGATCCCAGGACTTGGCCGAGTGGAGCGTCCTGGCGGAGTGGGCAGTTTGTGAAAACTGGGCAACGGGTATCCTGTTTGATAGCAGCCCATGAGGGTGTTTGTAGGTTCTGGGAGTGAACTTTCCTTGAGTTTCAAAGCCTGGCAATGAAACCGCCTGCGCTAGACTTGCTGCAGTACGGATTTCCATTCCACTGCAGAGCCCTGACTACCAAAGCTGTTCAGTCCCTGATCTTTGCCATCCCAGGTGACCAGGAGGAGACGTTGCTCTCACTCTTCTCACCGACCCCTGAGCCGAGTCAGCCAGTCGCAGTATTGCCGAATCGCATTTCCACTGCACAAACGATTCGTGTGCCTTGGCGTTTGTGACGGGCTGCCTGGAATGCCACATTGAAAAACAGAAGGTTCATGCATGCGCCGTGGAGGCACGAGGCGAACACACCTGTGTTGGTGGCACATAAGCTCCAAAACGGTGTTGAGAGAGAGAGAGAGAGAAAAAAAAAGAGAAGAAGCATCTCTGCGCTGAAGCGCAGGGCCCTGCCTAAGGCGCCATCCCTCCCGGCTTCGCAGGGGGCTCCGGAACCGTCATTGCCCCCTCCACTTGGAGTTCAGACTGGCCGAGCGCCCCAGGCTCCGTAAACGTCATTGCCTGGCAAAAGGGGGGGCCCGCAGTACCAGCAGCAGAAAAACGAGAGCTCGTGCCAGCAGCACTGCAGAAAACCAATTGGGGAGCGCCGGGGAGAGCACCTCGCACAGCGCTCGCAATGAGGACAATGGGGAGCACCCCGTGGCCTGCCACCCCATGAGCGAGCAAGCTCGCGAAACAATCAGGGAGCACCTCATAGAGCGCCAGCGAGCACGCCCGCAAAACAATTGGGGGGGCACCCCATGAATGTGAGCGCCCGCGCGACAAGCGGGGAGCGCCCCGTGCCCGCAAAAGAATTGGGGAGCACCCCGTGCCCGCAAAAGAATTGGGGAGCACCCGGCAGGCGAGCGTCCGCAAGACAACCGGGGAGCACCCCATAGGCTGGCACACCCGCAGAAAGAAATAAAAAACACAAAGCCGCCAGGGGAGGAGAAGGCGCGGGAGAAGAGCACCCTCCAGTCATGCGCCTAGGACACAAGGCCGGGAAAGAACGTGCCCAGGAACGTCACCAAGCCGTAGTCGAAGATGGGTACCTCAAGGTCGGCGGAAAGAGCCGGAGGCAAAACAAAACTGCAGCAGCAGCAGCAACAACAACAACGACAACAGCAGCAGCGACAAAGGCAAGGCCAGCAGCAGCGGCAACAGCAGAAGCAGCCGCAACAGCAGAAGCAGCGGCAGCGACAGCCACCGCAAGGCGAACAAAGGGAGCAGAGGCCAAAGGTACACCGCAAGGAAAGATAAACGGGCGTGTGGGTTGGTTTGCCTCTGGCGCACCAGTGACCACACGCGACCAAATCGTGTGGTGGCACCCCTGAGCCTACCGGAAGCGCCCGGCCCCACACACAGCTCGGGGCAAAACGGTGTTGAAACTTGTCAAGCTTTGTCCAGCATTGTGAGTGTGCGTGTGCGTATTAGTTAGTCGCAGGCCCATGTGCTAGATGCTAGAATGTCAATGTTGCATTCTGCCAGCCATGTGTAGGTCAGTTTGACATACCCGCACACGTGTGCCATCTTACCGCCCAAGCACTGGAACGTCATGCTAGGCCGCAGGGCTCTCAGCGCTTTGTTGCAAGTTGTAGATGTTCTCTTCTTCTTTTGGGAAGGGTTCCCTGCAAGCTCAACCAACCAAAAAAGGATGCCCTTGTCTTTCCCATGGCCACCAAGCATGGAGCCCCATGGCTCCAAGTTTCTGAGTCATTTGTTACATCCGTTTCGCGGCAGGTCTGGAGCCGGATGCCTTTGCCACCTTCGACCCGCGCCAGGACTCGGATGGTTTTCTCGGTTGGAAGAGGCCCGGTGTTGAGATGCCGCCCTTTTTCCATGCCACTTCTTTGGTGGGTTGCCCACTGGACATGGTCAACACCAAAAAGACCTGGTTCCCAGGTTCCAATCATTCGGGCCACTGGTTAAATTACAACTGGCAATCCGGTTTTCGGCTTTGAATCGATTGCGCAAGGTGG